GGTCGGCCATACCAGAAAGGTGGCCTCCCAGATGAGTAGAATACAGCTGTATGGTGGGAGACCAGAAATTGTGGCCCAAGGGAGAGGAAAACCAGCTTTCTAGCAAGGTTCAAAAGGGTCAAGAAGGAAAGCTAGTCGGCCTACCTATATTGGTGGCCTCCCAGATGAGTACAACACAATGGTGGTATGGGAGACCAGAAATTATGGCCCAAAAGTGAAGAAAACCAACTTTCTGTGAAGAAAATCGGCTGGAGGAGAGAGAAAATGATTTCCAAAAGAATTGCTGGTCTCCCACTATAGTACCACCTTCCAAACAATGAAAATAGGGTCCATACCAAAAATGAACCCTAACCGATGCAAAACGAGGGTTCGGGGGCCAAAACACGCGGCAAGGGGCCCCGAAAAAAGACTGTTAGGTACCGGAAGTGGCGTGCGACCACAAAGGTGGTCTCCCGGGCCACAGTATCCCTCAAAAGAGAGGAAACAAGGTGTGTGCCAAAACCTAGAGCAAACGGAGGTAGTTAAGCGGTTCCGAACCGAGGCACACGGCCGACGGCTTCGAAAATCGAAAACTGGTCTCCAAATTGGAAAAATAGCCTACGACCACGAAACGTAGCCAACGGCTACTGAGAGATGGTCTACGAGACCTCTCCCTCACTTCAGGAAGAGAAAATAGAGAAAACAAGACCTGGTTCACAAACCGAGACAAAGCACAAAAGAGCCCTGAAGTTCGAAGGCAAGGCTCGCAGCCGAGACTCTGAAACCTCAGAACGAGCACAATATACATCATCATCGAGCGCTCAATTGGTGACGTCTGAGTCTTAAGGTCGGTCAAAAATGGGGTGCCTACAATTGCCCCTCTTTGACAGAACTCGGAAGTCATAAGTGATGGGAGTGAATGTCAAAGCCCAGAGACGACCCATTTTTGACAAGGCCGAAGACTTAGACAAACAGGCGAAATAAACAAAGATGTGCCCGCAGGCAGGGGCAAAATGAAAAATGATATGCACAAAGCCGAACGCAACTCACAATCATGCAATGCAGCAAGCTGTAATGAAGCAAGTATTCACAATAGATGCAACAGTTTTAAGCAAGGATACAAAGCAACGACTACATTTCATGCAGTTTAAGAATGTGGAGAATTATTCAATTCTCGCCACGTCTCACTCGAAGAAGATACAATACCTGCGCGGTTCGTCTGGTCACACCAGCCTCAAATGAACCGTACATACAATATCGTGCCTGCAAGAGAGAGAAACTTAACAAGCACAACATAGTTAGCAACATATGCTCAACACTATGTCGAACACAAACGAACATGGTGCCGATGAGAAAGTGCATCGCAATGCAAGAAGAAACGTGCGTGACAACGCAAGTTAAGCATGGAGGCATGACAATACCAATGAAACGTGCACAACAATGCGAGTGGTGTGCATGAGAATGCAAGTGACGTGCATAACAATACATGATAAGTACAACTTCGAATGCACATTTGACACAAAACAACGGGCAAAGAAATGCAAGTTTCGACGAGGGCGACTCAATTGTGGCCTCCGGTTTACCTCCCGGAAGGGTCACAATGTACTCAAAAAGGATACATCTTGCTTTTGACGAGTAACGATGAAACACGCATCGAAAGTTGGAGTTGAAGTTCCCGCGGAGGGATTTCGCGACGAAAAGTGCACTTTTCTTGTACTTTCTCGGGTGCCGGGGACTCCAATCACTACCAAATTTTACAGAGAGCTCAAAGAGGCATTGGGGGACCATCTTGGGAACACCACCGACCAGGTTTGGAGGCCACCGACCAGGTTTGGTGCAGGGGGTGGTCGGCCTACCAGAAAAGGTGGTCGGCCGACCACCTAGACAAAAACAGGGGCAGTTTGGTACATTTGCACTCGGATCTTTAAATACACTCGACCAAAACACTTTTCCTCACAACTTCAAGTCCGAAATCAGCTCTCCTCCCTTCCTAGACCATTTTCCCTCTCAGATCTGCGCTCTATACGCATTTTCCAACACCCCACGCAAAGTTGTTTCGCTAAATCTTTCAGTTTTCTTTACTTTGAATCGATTAAATTTTGATTTCGGTGCTTCTTTCTCCATTTTCACCACTTGAGGTAAGTTTGTCTCAATATTTGGAACATTTTCTCGGGAGTTGACTTTTGTTGACTTTTTCCTTTCTCGAGAGTTGACTTTTGTTGACTTTTTCCAATTTTGGCTCATTTTGCTCATTTTTGCTCATTTTTGCAGATTTCTTGAGATGACGGGTCATTTCCTTCATGGCGGAGGTCCTCCAGGTGTAGGGGGTGAGCCAGATATCATGTCTTTGCCTCCGAGCGTTCGGTCATTCGATCCCGAGAGGTATCACCCTCGGGAGCATATCCTTTCCCGGGTCGTCTTCTACCATTTTACCGATTTTGATGATCGAGCACCTATGGATCTGCTATTGCGGGAGCCAGAGTCCCACCTCTCTCATCAAGCACGGGAGGTATGTACTTTACTTTTACGTTTTTCGCAATGTATTATGCATTTTCTGTGCATTTCATGCTTTCGCTATGTTTATCTGCTCATTCTAGCACACAGCTTGTTCTAAACACTTAGTCTATCACCCAGTATTCCGTTTGCATCTTGAACACACAGCTCAATCACTTGAATTTCTGAACACGCAACCCACATATTGATTGTGAACACACAACACACACTCGTTGAGAGTTGAACACGTAGCCCAAACTATTGAATTTCTGAACACACAGCCCATTGTTGATTGTGAACACGCAGCACACACTTGTTAAGAGTTGAACACGCAGCCCAAACCATGAATTTCTGAACACGCAGCCCATTGTTGATTGTGGACCCACAGCACACACTTGTTGAGAGTTGAACACACAGCCCAAACTTTGAATTTCTGAACACACAGCCCATTGTTGATTGTGAACACACAACACACACTTGTTGAGAGTTGAACACACAGTCCAAACTTCAAATTTCTGAACACACAGCCCATTGTTGATTGTGAACACACAGCACACACTTGATATTGAACACACAGCTCGAACTTTGAGATGAACACACAGCCCACTATTTTCGAAGTCTGAACACGCAACCCGAAACACTTGATATTGAACACACAGCTCGAACTTTGAGATGAACACACAGCCCACTGATTTTGAAATCTGAACACACAGCTCACTGACTTGACGTTGAACACACAGCTCGAACTTTTAGATGAACACACAGCCCACTGATTTTGAAATCTGAACACACAGCTCACTGATTTTAAATGAACACACAGCCCACACTTGTTGAAAGTTGAACACACAGCCCAAACTCTAAGTTCTTGAACACGCAGCCCAAATTTGAGGTGAACACATAGCACACACTTGTGTTTACACGTAGCTCATACACTTCCATTCTGAACACATAGTTCGTATACTTCATGTTGAACACACAGCTCACAGCATTGTATCTGATTTGGTTTGCACACAGCTCATACATTTTATTTGCATGCAACTTATTCATTTCATTCTGAAGCTGAATACATGTATTGATTATGAATGCAGGTGTCTTCCCGGGTTACACGAGGATATGGCTCCATCGTTGCGAGAGAGTGGTACACAGAGCTCCCGGAGGCCGTTCATGATTGGGTTGATCAGGCAGGGTTCGGATCCTTCTGCGCGGGGATATCTCGCTATCCTGCTAGCAGGACATTGATGGCCGCCCTTGTAAAGAGATGGTGGGACACCACCAACTCCTTTCATTTCTCCGCTACCGGGGACATGACTATGACCCCGTTCGACTTCGCTGTGCTGACAGGCCTTGATGTGGGAGGCTGGTTGATCCCTTATGATGAGGACATGGGCGAGTGGGAGGCTGCCTGGATTTATCTGTTGGGAGCTCGCCCACCGGTTGACAGATCATCGGGTAGGGTCCGGTACACTTGGTTTTCCACACATTTCAGGGGGACCGAGCCCGAGACCCTCGAGGAGATAGCGCAGTACACTCGAGGGTTCTTGATGTTCCTCCTCGGGACCACTCTGTTCTCCGATAGGGGGAACACTGTTGGACTCTATCTGCTGGGTGCTATGGTGGACCTATCGTAGGTCAGTCGGTATGACTGGGGTGGCGCCAGCTTGGCTACCCTCTATTGCTACATGAGTGCGACCTCCCGCGGACGGGGAAACATAGTCGGCGGTTATTGGAGAGCCTGGGAGGTACTTTCTGCCCTCTTGATTTACATTTCTGCTTTTCGTTATCTGTACACTACACACATGGCACACTTTACATTCTGTACTTTGTATTCTGCTCTCAGCATTTTGCATTCTTTGTACATTCTGCATTCACATTCTGCACTCAGCATTCTGTATTCTGATGGCTATTGCCCCGTTTTCCATAGCTATGGGTTTTCGCGTACTTTCCGATGCTGGCTCCAGAGCTCGAGGTGGCGGTGCCTCTCACAATCCCTTACTCGCTTGTATTCGAGGGCCAGTACCAGCCGAGGGCCCAGGAGACTTTGCCCTATCTGCGGCAGTATTTTGACACAGTGAGGCCGACAGAGGTAATTCAGAACTCTCAGTTCTCCATGTTTTCATCTTTAATTCATCTTACACATTTACGATTTCTAATCGGCTTATGCATTAGTTATCCGCAGATCACATGGCAGCCCTAGGCGCCCTTTGGTGGAAATACCCGATTTCAGCTTACTGGGGGGTGGGCCGCTTCCCGGTACAAGATCTTATTTGAGGGGCCCGTTGGTAGGGTTTGGTTTCTGGGGGACCGCTTCATGCGTCAGACTATGGGCTACCCCGAGCAGAGTGTCCTCGCAGCACCTTCGGTCGATATGCGGTCTACTGAGGGGCTCACCCCCCAGGATGTTGAGTCGGCTATGTTGGGCACTAATGTACTTTTGCATTTGGAGGAGGGGGAGTACGCGACCTACCGCCATACATACTTGATGCCTCCATTGACTGGTGTCCGCACTCCCACGAGGAGGTCTGGCCATACATACTTGATGCCTCCATTGACTGGTGTCCGCACTCCCACGAGGAGGTCTGCTGGCATGCCATCATTGAGCCGGGCCCGGGCTATAGATATTCCTTCGACCAGCAGGGCCCGCACATCGAGAGGCGGAGCTGGACTAGTCCCCCCGATTCCCCCGACTTATCATCAGGTCGGATGGCCATATATCCCGACTGAGTTGACAGGATGGCGATACGGGACTTCCTACCCGATTCCGATAGAGCCATCCGGGGGGACTGAGTCAGTGATCCTGACTCACCACCGGTATGTTCCACTGCTTTTCGTTTACCACTCAGGTACTTAGGCATTTATTTACTCATTGATGACTTGAGCTTATATCTGCAGCCTACCAGGGAGTATACGGAGGGGTTACTCGGGTTAGTAGGCTCACTCGAGGGCGTGGTCCTGCGGAGAGAGACGCAGTTGTCCATCGTCGGCGTCCCGGTACTCTTTAGTTTTCTTGCATTTATCATACTTCTAATGACATGCTAAACTTGAATATTTCACTGCATTGATTGACTGTATGTGTAGAGTACATCCGACACACACCACATTCATGCACTGTATCTGCATACACCCACTCTTTGTAGCTTTCTTGCATCTGCCTCTGATATACATACTTTGGCTGATGTATTCAAATTGCGCTCTTTCTTTTCAGATGCCTCCGCTACATACTGGGCCATAGGCCGGGCCATCCAGGCCTTCTCGGAGAGCTGGGAGAGGGGGTTCGACTCACGGCCAAGGCAGATGCAGAGCACCTGTCATAGAGGAGGAGTCCAGCGAGGAGGAGGAGTCTGTACATCCCCAGTCAGAGACATCCGCTGGCAGAGATGATGACTCTGGTTCCGGTTCGGGTAGTGGAGATGATGCCGAGGAGGATTCTAAGGGCGGCGACTCCGATTCCGATGATGATGATGGTACAGAGGTTGTTCCGCAGAAGAGGACGAAGAGGGCTTCTTACTCCTGTGCTTGATAGTTGTTCCTGCTTTATTTGCCTTTTTTTTACTAGTAGTTGTAGCACATTTGTACACTTTTAGGCAGTTTTATTTTCTGTAAAACTTGTACCCATGTTGTAAAAAGTTGTAGCATGATGGAATGAAACAGCTTTTTGAAAAAGTGTTGCATTTTATGTTCTTAGCATTGCATCGCATCATTTCGCACGAAAATGAGATTGAAATGGAATTGTGCACTGAAAATTGCCAAGTCAAGTAGTGAACCGACACAACAAACTAAACAACTTAACTTACTAAGTAACAACAAAACCTTAGCAAGTTTACAACTCGATAAGGAAAACACAACAATGTTGATTAAACAAAGAGTAGTAACTCAATACATGAAACTCGATGACTCGATAAACAAAACTCGATAAACAAAACAACTTGGTAAACAAAACAACAACTCGATAAGCAAAATAACAACTCGATAAGCAAGACTCAACAACAACTCGATAAGCAAAATAACAACTCGATAAGCAAGACTCAACAACAACTCGATAAACAAAATCCATTTCGGACGATGGGAGTGACGAAACGCATCCGAAACAGAGGAAAACTCGCACCTTCAACACTCCCGATGCATAGAAATGCTAGGAACTTTCCTCTAGAAGCTAGGGCAAGACCAAAGCCCCATTTCTCTTTATGGCCAACCATCAGAGGGAGCTGGCTGACCAGCTTTTTTCATTAGAAACCAAAGGGGTGGTCGGTCTACCAGAAAAGGTGGTCGGCCGACCACCTGGCTTGGCAGCCACCAAATTGTTGACACGTGTCCCCCGAACAGTGCCTTATCCTCTATAAAAGTCCCAGCTTCGTGGTTCATTCATTTTATCTCAGTTTTGCATCAAAATGGAGGCATTCCTCACCCAAAATCTCATAGCTTGGATTGCTTCTTTGGATGGCTCGAAAAAGTTGAACTTCCGGGGCTTTGGTTTGAATGCACTATTCACGCTGGGCCGTACTCCGCTGCATCTTCCTTTCTTCCATGCCGCGGTAAGGTTTTGGAACCCGGTAACACACGTCTTTAGCTTTAGCGGGCAAGAGATATGTCCTACTTTCGAAGATTTCCAAGCTTTAATCGAATCCGAGCGCAATGAGGAGATCTTGCCTCAACTCCGATTTGGCCACGTCCAAGCCCTAGGACGAATGTGCGGCCTCACTTTGCTTAATGCTCAATCATTGGTTCACGATGGGGAGCTGGACATCCCAAGCTTGGTTCGCTGGTTTTCTGATGCTGGTGACCGCGGCGACCATCATTGGCAGGGCCATCGGCGACACGCGCTTTGCCTATGCTTGCTATCTCATTTCTTGCTTGCCCCGGGCTCCGGTGGATTCAGTGTCCGGTTGATCAAGGTTGCCCAAGGTTTGAAGGAAGGCAAGAGCTGCATCGTCAGGACATTGACTGAGACATTGATGGGAATAGACGCTTTTCATCGTCGGGAGACGGCTAGGCTTGCTGGGAGCCCATTACTGTTGCAGGTAATGTTTCCCACCCAATCTCACATATGTATTGCTCACATCACTCGGCCCTCAGGCTCGGTTTTTCTCACAATACCCTTTTCTTTCTTTTCTCTCATCGTACATCTCTCTATTCTTTATTCTCTCATTTTTCATCCCTCCCAGGTGTGGTTGATGGACAAGTTACAGATTATGGAGTCTTGCCCAGCATACTCAGCTCGCGGCCATTTTTTTCGACAACGCCTGGTCGATTCCCTAGATGAGGGGTGGTGGTACAACTGGATGTGCAGTTTGTCTGCAAATTGCATCGCTTGGTGCTGCCCTTGGCTCAACCTGCCGGCAATGAGTTACAACATGACCCGTCAACCTGGGATTCAATTGATTGGCATGACACATTGTGTCTTCTATTTTTCGTTCTGGTCCGGTGCCAGTTCGGACACGATCAGACCTGCCCGCCAGAGGGGATAGAGTACCCTGCTGCATTCCCAGCCCGAGGCGCACAGCTTGCTCGATATGCCACGGCATGGGGAACTAGAGAGCTCCTAGCCCCTGTTCCCACTTTCAGTTGCACTTTGTCTGATGAGTGCATAGATTGGCTCAATGAAGAGGCACAGATTGGGCCCAGCTTGGCATCAGAGGCTTCGACCAGCTCTGGGAGGGGGCGCAGGAACACCTGACTTATCTATGCCCTGGATTTATTGCTTTATTAGTACTTTCAAGTTTTCTTTATAAATGTGATAAAAAAGCAACTTCAATTTGCCTGCAAGAGCAGGAGAACTCTGTATGGAAATCAATAAAATTGAAGGTTGTGGGTACTGAAAATTTTCCGCTTTGGTCTAAAAATGGTCTAAGTTGTAAAAAGATTAATTTTGAACAAAGTCAACTTTTATTGAAACTTTTCAAAACCATTTTCGATATGGATCAGAACTGGACACGCCTGAAACCTGTCACTAAGATGCATAACCTCGGATCCTAGCAACTGGAAAGTTGCCCCTAGTTTGAATAGTACTGCGGCACTGCACAGCAACGAAAAGTTGTCCCTAGTCTAAAAAGCACTGCACCGGAGATCATAACCGAACTCTAGAATGCTGAATAGACAAAGATGGCCGAGATGATCAAATGGACAAAGTTGATCGGGGAAAAGTTTATGGCTGAACTTCATGATGAAGTTGCCTACGTATCCCAAATATGGGAATCAAGCCTTACGTAGTTCAGGCTTGGGTTCACTCGAGTATTTTCACTCTCCTTTTGCGCTCTAACTTTTGCCAAGGCCGCCCTTTGCGGGTTTTCAACCTTGCGAGCTCAGTTTTTATAATTTCAAATTTTCTATGCTCTAACTTTTGCCTAGGTCGCCCTTTTGGGTTTTCGGCTTAGTGAGCCTCTCAGGGGTAATATTTCTTCAACTTGTCCATATTGATCGGCTGTGAAAACTCTAGGCCATCCAGGTCCATTAGAACCACAGCTCCACCTGACCATATAGATTTGATGATGTAGGGACCGGTCCAATTGGGTCTGAACTTGCCCCTTGGGTCGTGAATGGGAGCTCAGTTGTCCTTGAGCACCAAATCTCATTCCCTTAGATTCCTGGACTTAACTTTCTTGTTGAAAGCCCGGGCAATTCTGCACTGATAACCTTGAACATGGTACAGTGCTTTCAGTCTTCTCTCATCAAAGAGCATGAGTTCCTCAAACCTGCTCTGCTGCCAATTTGCTTCGGCTGTTTGACACTCAGCCAATACTCGCAATGACGGAACCTCAATCTCGATAGGTAGAACGGCCTCCTTCCCATAGACTAATGAATACGGAGTCACCCCAGAAGAAGTTCTAATTGAAGTCCGGTAACCCCACAGAATGTGTTTGATGTTCTTGTTGGCGGCCTCAACCGCTCCATTGGTCTGAGGCCAGTATGTGGATGACTTGTGAAAAGCCACATTGTATTTCTCCAACAAGTCAATCACTTTTTTCTTGAAGTGGGAACCATTATCTGAAATGACCTCGTTCGGGACCCCATAACGACAGATGATGTTGTTTCTGATAAACTTTGCAACGTGCGATGCCTTCAACACCACATAAGATTGGGTCTCAACCCACTTCGTAAAATAATCTATCGTGACTAGGATGAACACATGCCCATTCGACCCCTTCGGAGTAACAGCCCCGATCACATCGATTTCCCAAACTGAAAATGGCCATGGCAAAGTCATATTGTACAGCTTTGACGGTGGAATGTTCATGCGGTTCGCATGGATCTGACATTTGTGGCGTCGCCGAACAAAGCCGATACAATCCTCCTCCATGGTGGACCAATAATAACCTTGTCTGAGGATCTTCCACGCTAGCATTACCCCGTTCATATGCGCAACGCATTCTCCTCCATGGATGGCCTCCATCGGGCGTTTTGATTCTTCAGCTTCGACGCACAGCTTATGCATTCCCAGATGACCTCTCTTATACAATTTACCTCCGCAGATGATGAACTGAACGGCCATTCTTCTGATTGCCCTTTTATCCTTGGCATTTACCCCTGGTGGATATGCTTCCTTCTCCAAGAAATTCCAAATATCGTAATACCAGGGATTCTCATCTTGAACCTCGTCTATAGCAGCAATCGACTCGTAAGCCGGCACAAATTTCTGGTCGATAATGACTGGACGCATCTGGACTCCAAACGGGATGTCTATCATGGAAGATAGAATTGCTAGTGAATCTGCGAACCTGTTGTTTCTCTTAGTAGATGGGTGAAGTTTAGCTTCTCAAACCGAGGAATCAGCAGATCCAAGGTCTGGTGGTACATTATCATCTTTTCCTCTTTGACCTTCCAGTCTCCTTTCGCTTGAGACACAATAAGGTTCGAGTCCCC